CTTCTTGTTCTCAGTTTTCTGTGTATTCATATCCCACTGCTGAAACACACTCTGAAACTGCTGAGAATATTCCTGGGTAAGTTTCTGTCTTTGTTCTTATTGTGTTTTCCAAACGTTTTCAATTTTCTTATTACTGTTTTTGAGAGAAGCCTGGGTATACAGTTCTAATTTCTATTTCTTTGCAAGAAGATCCTTGTTAATGTCAGCTCCACATCTTTCCAGTGTATTCTGTACTTCACCACTAAGATGTCGCTCCATCATTCCTGTGGAAGACCTTTTCTTCTCATGCTTATCAATTGCTGTAATCCTTCCTTCTAGAAAATCCTGTTCAGAACCACTCAAATTCATCTCGATGTTCTCAAACTCATAGGCACAGATGATCTGTTCCTCCACGATTTGTTTCTCAGATTTCCCCATGTGCTTTCTTCCATTAGGTGCCATCAGGGATGTTTTCAGCTGCATGTACTTCATCTCCACAACACTCCTCTTGCAATTACTTTAAACTCAGATGTACAGCAGAGTGTGCTGTTAGTGCCACGAAAGAAGGTTGTAGAGTGCAGGCATATCTGACCTCTACTTCATAGTCTTGGTCTGATTTTGAGTTTGAATCTCTTTCCTTCTTGTGAAGCCAGAGGAAGTCAGACATGGCCCCATATGCTTTTTGTAGCACTGGACTGCTAACTTCAGTCAAGGTCAGCAGTTCAAACCCACCAGCAGCTCCTTGGAAGTCCTATACATGATCGCTATGTGTCAGAACTGACTCGATGACTCTTATCAATAGCAACATAGTAGGATCTAAGAAAGCTTGGTAGCATAGTGGGTTCCCAAGATCAGCAGATTGAATCTACCTGTCACTCCACAGAAGAAAGATGAGGTTTTTGCTCCTATAGAAGCCCTACACAAGGGTCATTAAGTGTCAGAACCAACCTGACAGCACACAACCACCAGTGTCGTAGGGTCTGGGAGCATGGTGGCGCTGTAGGGTAAGCATCTGACAGCAAACCACAAGATCTGCATTTCGAACCCATTAGCTGCTTCTCAGGAGAAAGACGAGACTTTCTGCTCCCACAAAATGTGAATCTATGAGCCAGAACCAAGTAGACACCACTTAACAACACTAATAGTAGGATATAGAATATTGTCATTGTGGACTGTTGTTGTTGTTAAGTACTGTAAAGTTGGTTATATCTCATAGTAGTTCTCTATAGGGTTACTGAAGAGTGATTGGTGAGTTTAAACCACTGAATTTTTGGTTCAAACCGACCTTATAATCCAGTGCTTTATCCCACAGTGCCACATCAGGGCACACACAAATGAACGTGGAACAGAACTTCCTTAAATGCCTGCCTTCCATGTGCCCTCACTATAACTGGGGACCACAGTGACAATTTTGGTTTCTGCATATCGATATTAGTTCAGATTATGCCTCTGATAACCTTTGAGAGATCTGGGCATTCTATCGCCCTTAGTATCCAGCTACTCAAGTAAATGGCCATAGACCCTTAGGGAAACACCGGGGAAAGTACTTTTATATATGAGGGGTCATCAAACAATTAATGAATTCCTTAGAGTTTCAGTCTTCGGTAGGGGTTCCTCCTGAAGGAACTTGATTACTTGCCTTGATGGCTCCCCAGCAAACAACTTGCTTGTTCTCGTAGTAGCCAATCAAACTACCATTTTTGTTTTGATTTTTCCTGTTGGTCTTTCTTTCAAGAACTTTCTTTCAAGAACTTTCAAGAAGCCATACCATGTTGATTCAATGTTTATCCTGCCCCTAAGAACACTGGGGTCTGTTATCATCACCATAGATCACTTAGATTAGAGTTCCCTGGTTGCCTTTATGACTTCATTGGTTGTTATAAGAAATGCATACTATTAATTATTTGTTAATTAATCCAACTGAGTCTTAGTTTTAATTATTAGTGAAAAAAATCTGAAAACAGCTGAGCTTGGTTCAGTTTATAACTTGGTTGTGTCAATATTGGGGAATACGAAAGGAATCAAGTTTTATTTGTTGAAAATAGAACACCTCTGAGTATGAGCAGGGACAGATTACCCCAAAGAAGATGTAAGTAGGAGACAACAGTTGGCCATCTTTCACAATCACTTTTTCTTAGATTCCTAATCATGCTAACAATATGGTTGGTTATGGTGCTGAACATATCAGTTTGTCCAAATGACTTCAACTGGAAGTCTTCATGAAGTCCAAAACCTTCATTCTATCATTTTCCATACTCCTGAGCAATAAATGCAAACTATTTCCAGTCATGATTTCTAAAAAATTACTGGATGGAGTCCTGGTGTGGCGCTGTAGGATAAGCACAGGACAATAAGGTTGGTTTGAAACACAAGGTTGACAGTTTAAACTCATCAGCCACTCCTCAGAAACCTTATGAGTCAGAACTGATTGGACAGCACTTAACAACAACAACTGTGACCAGATAGATGTTTCAGTAAACAGCCTGCCTATGTCGGTGTGCTAGTTGCTATTGCATCAGATGCATCATGATGGCGCCACGTAAACCAGGATGCAATGCTGCTTGGCTGTGAGGGAAGAAGGGTTCTAGCTACTTGGAAGATGGAAGGCTGGGGGGTAGTTGTTGAGCTCAGAGTTTCTCATTGTTAAAAGAATACAGTCAAATCAGGAACAGGAAGTGAAGAGACAAGAGCTGGTCTGTCTTATGTACAAGGGCTTTTGGCAGCCACAAGCAAAAATTTTAAGTGTGGGATAGGGGAGATCTGCATCACTGTGTAAGTTCCAGGTGGCACAGTAGTACACAGCAGAATCACTTTTTTCCAGATTTTTGAGCACAAATTTACAGCTCCTTCCTGTACCTTCATAGACATGGTATTTCTCTGAACTGAACCCTGAGTCCAACACCACCTTTGAGTCACGGAAGCCGTAGTAAAGGAGGCGTTGCAGGGCTCTTCCCTCTTGATATTGGTACCAGTGGACGTAGTTGGTGCTCTGATCTAGAAGATCACAGTTGATTACGACCGATGCCTCAGTTGGCTTGATGATTAACTTCTGTCTCATTACCTTGTTGGAAGCTTTCTGACTTCCTACAGAAATGAAAAATGAGTTACTCCTTAGTTGTTGTTGTTGTTGTTAGATGTCATTGAGGCGGTACCGACTCATAGTGAACAAAACACTGCCTGATGCTGGGTCAACTTAACTATTGCTGCCACACTTGAGTACATTGATGCTGCCACTGTGCCAATCCATCTCGCTGGGGGTCTTCCTCTTTTTCCCTGACTCTCCACCTTACCAAACATGATATCCTTCTCCAGCAACTTTTCCCTTTGACAATATGTCTGAAGTATGAGAGACGAAGTTTGGTCATCCTGGCCTCCAAGAAGCTGCCTCGCATTTAAAGAAATCCCATCAGCACCCATGAAACACACTTACCAGGAGCCAGGAAAGCTAGGAGCAGAACTAGAGACCACAGCATGTCGTCCCCTATTGGATCCTAGAAGAGAAGGGACCCAGATGATAAGAGCTGAGAGTAAGAAAGAAATAGCCCTTGGAAAACACAAGTCTTACTAAAAAAATAATAAAATAAATAAAAAATGTTATTCCTAGAGCAAAGGCCAGATAGCTAGAGCTGGTCTTCTTAACTGATGAGACGTGCAGTGAACAGTAACTGAGAATCTCTTTCTGAAGACTACCAAGTTGTGTCCTCAGAAGTGGTGTGGGGCTGGGGGTGAGGTAATGGGGTAGGACTAGGGGAGGAGCCCAGGCCTCTCTGATTCACACTGGGTGAGTTAGAATAGAGAGCCCCCTATGGCAGGCTGAGAGGTTTCTTTTTCAAAAAGTGTGAATAGAGTTCAAACACGCAGTACATAGGTTTGCTTTTAAATTTTGTTCCTCCAAGCGATCCACCCAACACTTTCCAATTCTGAAAATAGAAAAGAAGTACCCCTTCACCTCATCTTCCATCCCCTGTTTGGAAAGGTAGAACTTCACTATATTTGCTCTGCTGTGCATTCCTGACTCTGTTTGTCCCCAGTGTCCTTAGATGAGAAAATAAAGAGAGAAAAGCAACCATGATTCTCTCTGCTTCTGTACTTCAGCTCGTGAGTGATCAATTGTTGCATCCTAGGTGGACACTTATAAGATTTTAAGACCCACTATAGGATCAGCCCTGGACTTTTAAACACAAGGTTAGGAGTTTAAAACTACCAGCTGCTTTTTGGAGTCCTGATACAGGGTCGCTATGAATCTGAACCAACTCGACGGCACTTGTAACAACAACAACAAATAGTAAGATAGGAGTCCTGGTGTGTTGCTTTAGAAAACACACTGGACTGTTAACAGAAAGGTCAGTGGTTCAAACTCACCAACTGCTCCTTGGAAACTCTATACAGTGTCTTTATGAGTCAAAGCTGATACCGTGGCACTTAATAACAACTTCTTTATTTTCACCAAGTGATTGGGTGGAACCATACAAATAAGGTAGGTGTACAGAATTTTAAGGCTTGAATTGGTAGCTTTGCCAGCCCTCTAGATTTACAAAAATCTTCTCAAAAGAAGGAAAAGATGATCGTAGGACCTTCAATAAAGAAGAGGATGAGTGGAGTGTGAGATCCCCACCTAGAAAAGAGGCAACAGCAGAGGTGGTAGCAGAGGCAGTGACGTGGAGCAGCTGCAGGCATCCGGGTCTAGGGTAGATTAAGCTGAGTGCCTAGGGCAGGAGGCTGCCTTGTAGACTGTGCCCTTTGGACATTTACACACTGACTAGGGAAGCTTGGTAACACTAGCCTGAGCAGGGCAGAGGCCGTGGGGCCATATGGCTGAAAGGCCAAAGACAGGAGTGAGGTGTGTCTGCAGTATTTCAGACAAGAGGCGTTTCTGAGAACAGCTGCATCCTGCATTGGTTTTGATCCTGAGCTGTAACTTGTTCATTTTCCTAATAAAAACATAATCATGAGTATTGTTATGAGTTCTATGTGGCCATTGCAGTGGATTATCAAACTCAAATATGAAGCAGAGAGCACTGTGGGAGGAATGGTTGGCCACAGCTAAGAAGGTTATAGGGTGGAGGCATATCTGACATCCTTTCATAGGAATTGGTCTTCAGTAGATTTTGAATTTGATTCTCTTTCCCTCTTGTGAAGTCAGAGGAAATCAGGTATGGGAACATGTGGTTTTTATAACACTGGACTGTTAACTTCAAATCAGCAGTTCAAACTCCCCAGCTGCTCCTTGGAAGCCCTATACAGGATTGCTATGAGTCTGAAACTGAATTGATGACATTGAGCAACAACAATATAGTAGGATATCAGGAACCTTGGTAACATAGTGGGTCATACATTTGCCTGCTAACCCCAAGATCAGCAGATGAATCTTCCAATCACTCTGCAGAAGAAAGATGGGGTTTTCTGCTCCTTTGAAACCCTATGCATGATCATTAAGAGTCAGAACCGACTAGACAGCACACCACCACCATCATGGACATGGGAGCTTGATGGCTCGGTAGGATAAGCACCAGACTGCAAATCACAAGCTCTGCAGTTTGAAGCCACCAGCTGTTTTGCAGGGGAAAGATGAGGCTTTCTGCTCCCACAAAATGGGAATCTATGAGTCAGATTCAACTAGACAGCATATAACAACACTAATAGTAGGATATAGAACACTGTCATTGTGGACTGTTGTTGTTAAGTACCATTGAGATGCTTCCAACTCATAGTGGTTTTGTATAGCATTTCTGAGGAGTGATTGGTGAGTTTAAATCACCGACTTTTTTGGTTCAAATCGACCTTATAGTCCAGTGCTTTACCCACTGTGCTACATCAGGGCACACACAGATGAACTTGGACCAGAACTTCCTTAAATGCCTGCTTTCCATATGCTCTCACTATAACTGGGGACCACAGTGACAATTTGAGTTTCTGCATATTGATATTAGTTCAGATCATGCCTCCAACAACGTTTGAGAAATCTGAGCATTCGATTGCCCTTAGCTTCCAGCTACTCACGTAAATGGCCAGAGACCCTATAGGGAAAAACTGGGGAAAGTGCTTTTATATATAAAGGGTCATCAAAAATTAGGAATCTGTTTCAGATTCCTTAGAATTTCAGTCTTGGGTAAGGGTTTGTCCTAAGGGACTTGATTACTTGCCTTGATGGCTCGCTAGTGAACAATTTGCTTGTTCTTGTAGCAGCCAATCAGACTGCCATTTTTGTTTCAATTTTTCCTTCTGGTGTTTCTTTCAAGAACTTTCTTTCAAGAACTTTCAAGAAGCCATACCATGTTTATTCAACATTTATCCTGCCTTAGGGAAGAGCACTGGGGTCTGTTAGCCTAACCATAGATCACTTAGATTAGAGCTCCCTGGTAGCCTTTATGACTTCATTGGTTGTTATTATAAATGCATGTTATTAATTATTTGTTAATTACCCCAACTAAGGCTCAGTTTTAATTATTGGAGAAAAATACTGAAAAAGTTGAGCTAGGTTCAGTTTATAACTTGGTTGTGTCAACATTGGGGGAAGGAAGGGAATAGAGTTTTATTTGTTGAAGACAGAACAGCTCTGGTATGAGTGGGGACAGATTACCCCAAAGAAGATGTAAGGAGGAGAAAACAGTTGGCCATCTTTCACAATCATTTTTTTCTAGATTCCTAATCATGCTAACAATATGGTTGGTTATGGTGCTGAACATATCAGTTTGTCCAAATTACTTCAACTGGAAGTCTTCATGAAGTCCAA